GAGCAGATTTTATGGTATTTATTATTTAGATTGTTGATTTTCATTTGAAATCATGACTCAATCACTCACAGTTGGACCTTTATAAAAAGCCTGAAGGAATTGGACGGCTGTTTCGACCTAGTTTGGGTGGGACTCAGAAACAGTGGGAATTTCCATTCTCTATTTGAAATATCGATTTTCGTTTTGATGTTTAATTTGATCTAACAATGACTCATTCATGATTTCGAGTTCAAGCAACTCTCTACACAATACTCTATTGCAAAATCAAAAAATGTACTCACTAGTGACTAGATTCGGGAGGTTCTCGAAGTTCTACTGAAAAGACTTGACCAGTGGAATTCTAGACTGTTAAGTGTAAGCAGTAATTACCGAAGACTCTTGTGTGAAGTTGCACAAAATCCTTAGATTGATCATAATTAGACATGAACACCGTTGGATACCGCCAGATTAGTGGCCTAGAAGTTAAATATTAGCTCTCATGACGGAAGGTTCTGGGTTCGAATCCTGCGAGCAGCAGTGTGGTGTGAGCTACTTATAAGTAGTATATGACATGAGTGTCAACGTAATGTCTGGCAGCAGAATATGGGGGAAGATCAAGAAAGGAAGAGAGTGGGAACACAATGGAATTTGTATGAAACGCATGAATAGTGATAATGGATTGATGTTTTGCAACAGGAGTAGTCCAGTTCGATATGATGGATTGATAATTTGCAAATGAACGATTTACGATATGGTTTTCCAATTTTACTGAGTAACTCTGTAATTTTCGTTAAATACAATCCGGTTGCCCTCACCTGTGTTCTCGTTCACTACAGCAGGAGTCGTGGGTGCACACTGCCACTGGTGAGTAGTCCCATACTAAAGGACGAAATGGTCGTCTTTCAGTACTTCCAGATTTCTAATGGGTGGTCTAACAATCAGTAATTCATTTATGATTTCCAATATGTGTAAAAACAACGATCTCCACAATACTTCACCAATGCATAATTTCTAATTAGTCTACCGGTCTCAGTCATTTAACAACTAGGTATTTCAATTAATCGGCTTTTTTTCAAAACATCACATTATTCTCTGTTACGCATGTAACTTCACCACGTCAACTTGATATACTTGAATGCTATGACGAGGTCACCTTAGTCAGTAAAAGAGAGCGAGGATCGACGGTCCGGCGACATGACGGGCTACTTTAATCCGAGCCTCCCAAACCCTCATTGAATAGAAGAAGAAGACTTGATATGAAGTAGGACGTGTATTCTACAAGCATCCAGAAAGTATGGTACCAACTCCACAAGAGCGATAAGGACCCCGGACTAAGGATCGGGGTCATACAACGTTACACATAATGCATATTTATACAGTTAGGCGGAATAGGAAACAATATGTGAAGTATGTGACATTGATAGTTAAAACGACCAATAAGAACTGACCAATAGTATTAGACTTATGAAAAATAATTCTCTTAGGATAATTAGTTAACTCCGCCAGTAGAACCTTAGGGGCTACTGCCGGTCCCAAGCCCGGATAAAGGAGGAGGGTTGGACATGGGGTTGGCGGCCCCATTCCGTTGAAATCTAACTTGCCAAAAAAACGCTAACCAGAAAAAATAATTCAAACCATTTTAACTCTGCCCTGGGAGTTGGAAGAAGAATTATGACGTCTCGTGATGAAAGCCGAGTCCCCTCGGAAGTCACGGGGCCGATGCCTCTTCTGACAACTAGAGCAACCATTTTTTTAGGTACATGGAACGTTCGTACATTGTGGGAGACTGGAAGACTATTTCAAGTTGCGGCAGAAATGAAAAGATACAACCTCGAGGTGCTCGGCATCAGTGAAACACATTGGACACAGGTAGGACAACTGAGACTTGCTTCAGGGGAACTGCTGTTATACTCTGGTCATGAAGAGGAAAATGCTTCACATACACAAGGAGTTGCACTGATGCTGTCCAAACATGCACAAAAGGCACTGATAGGATGGGAATCTCATGGACCCAGGATCATTAAAGCATCCTTCAAAACAAAGAAACAGGACATTACAATGAACGTCATCCAATGTTATGCACCTACCAATGACTACAATGACGACGTTAAAGATCAATTCTACGAAAGGCTGCAGTCAGTCGTCGAGAAATGTTCACCAAAGGATTTGACGATTCTTATGGGAGACCTGAATGCCAAGGTTGGAATGGACAACACTGGATATGAAGACATCATGGGACGACATGGACTGGGAGAAAGGAACGAAAACGGTGAGAGATTTGCAAACCTATGTGCCTTCAACAAACTGGTCATCGGTGGCACAATATTCCCGCACAAACGCATTCACAAAGCCACATGGATTTCACCGGACCACACTACTCAAAACCAAATTGACCATATCTGTATCAACAAAAAGTTCAGAAGGACCATGGAGGATGTGAGAACCAAGAGAGGAGCTGATATAGCTTCAGATCACCACTTGCTGATCGCCAAAATGAGATTGAAGCTAAAGAAGCACTGGACAGCGGGGCAGACAACATCACAGAAGTTTAATACGGCCTTTCTTCGGGATACCGTAAAACTCAACGAATTCAAGATAGCCCTCACCAATAGGTTCCAGGCCTTTCAGGATCTACTCAATGGAGAGGAAGCAACATTGGAGAACAATTGGAAAGGGATTAAGGAGGCAATCACTTCAACATGTCAGGAGGTCCTTGGTCGCAAGAAGCACCATCACAAGGAATGGATCTCTGTTGGTACTCTTGAAAAAATTCAAGAAAGGAGGAACAAGAAGGCAGCTATCAATGTCAGCCGAACAAGAGCAGAGAAAGTTAAGGCACAAGCTGAATACACAGAAGCAAACAGGGAAGTGAAGAAGAGCATCAGAGATGACAAACGAAAATATGTGGATTATCTAGCAATGACGGCGGAAAAGGCTGCAAGAGAAGGAAACTTGAGACAATTGTACGAAACTACAAAGAAGCTCGCCGGAAACTATCGTAAACCAGAACGACCAGTGAAAAGTAAGGAAGGCAAAGTAATCAGCAACACTGACGAACAGCGAAATAGGTGGGTGGAGCACTTTAAGGAACTATTGAATCGACCAGCTCCACTGAACCCACCCAACATCGAAGCAGCATCCAAGGACCTCCCAATTAATATTGGCGCACCTACGATTGAGGAGATCAGTATAGCCATCAGACAAATCAAGAGCGGCAAAGCAGCAGGACCAGACAACATTCCAGCAGAGGCAATGAAAGCAGATGTGGAAGCAACTGCGAAAATATTTCACATTCTCTTCAAGAAGATTTGGGATGAGGAACAAGTACCATCAGATTGGAAAGAAGGATACCTGATCAAAATACCAAAGAAAGGCGATCTCAGAAAGTGTGAAAACTACAGAGGCATCACTCTTCTTTCAATACCAGGCAAAGTCTTCAACAGAGTATTGTTAAACAGAATGAAGGACTTCGTAGACGCCCAACTTCGAGATCAACAGGCTGGATTTCGTAAGGATCGATCGTGTACTGACCAAATTGCTACATTACGGATCATTGTGGAACAATCAATTGAATGGAACTCACCACTCTACATCAACTTTATCGACTACGAGAAAGCATTCGATAGCGTGGATAGGAAAACACTGTGGAGGCTTCTTCGACACTACGGTGTGCCTGAGAAAATAGTCAACATCATACGGAATTCTTATGATGGATTCAACTGCAAAATCGTACACGGAGGTCAGCTGACAGACTCTTTTGAGGTGAAGACCGGTGTCAGGCAAGGTTGCTTACTCTCACCCTTTCTCTTTCTCCTGGTCATCGACTGGATTATGAAGACGTCAACATCTGGAGGGAAGCACGGTATCAACTGGACAGTTAGGACGCAGCTGGACGATCTGGACTTCGCAGATGACCTGGCTCTTCTATCGCACACTCAACAACAAATGCAAGAGAAGACGACCAGTGTAGCAGCAGCCTCTGCAGCAGTAGGTCTCAACATACATAGAGGAAAAAGCAAAATTCTCCGATGCAACACAACATGCACCAACCGAATCACGCTTGATGGAGATACCTTGGAGGACGTTAACACCTTCACATATCTTGGCAGCATCATCGACGAGAAAGGTGGATCGGACGCAGATGTGAGGGCGCGGATTGGCAAAGCAAGGGCTGCATTTCTACAGTTGAAAAATATCTGGAACTCCAAACAACTTTCAACCAAAACCAAAATCAGGATCTTCAATACAAATGTCAAGACAGTTCTACTGTATGGAGCGGAAACATGGAGAACTACCAAAGCCATCATCCAGAAGATACAAGTGTTTATTAACAGTTGTCTACGCAAAATACTTCGTATTCGTTGGCCAGACACCATCAGCAACAACGAACTGTGGGAGAGAACAAGTCAGATTCCAATGGAGGAGGAAATCAGGAAGAAGCGGTGGAAATGGATAGGACATACACTACGAAAAGCACCCAACTGCGTCACTAGACAAGCCCTCACATGGAACCCTCAAGGCAAAAGGAAAAGAGGAAGGCCAAGGAACACACTACGCCGAGAAATAGAGAAAGATATGAGAGGAATGAACAAACATTGGACAGAACTGGAGAGAGAAGCCCAGGACAGAGTTGGTTGGAGAAAACTGGTGGGCGGCCTATGCTCCATTGGGGGTAACAGGCAAAAGTAAGTAAGTAGGATAATTAGTTGATCAAGCACCTAAATGCATCACGAGACAAGCCCTTACATGGAACCCTCAAGGCAAAAGGGAAAGAGGAAGGCCAAGGAACACATTATGACGAGAAATGCAGACGGACATGAGAGGACTAAACAAAAATTGGACAGAATTGGAAAGGGAAGCCCAGGACAGAGTTGGTTGGAGAAAACTGGTGAGCGGCCTATGCTCCATTGGGGGTAACAGACGTAAGTAAGTAAGTAAGTAAGTAATTAGTTGATAAATATCCTAATATTCTCTTCAGTGCAAATGTGTCTACTTTGATTGTACTTTCTTTTATTATCAAGGTACATCGTTTAATTATCATTGATGACAATCACAAAGTCGATGGAATTATTTCACTCTCGGATATATTGAAATTCCTTACGAATTGGTCAGCCACAAATCATCATCATCCACATACTGTCGGTCATGACAATGGTGACAATGATGTGGCCGGTGATCGTGGCGATGTGAATCACCACCGAGTGAATCAATCCACTGGTCCTGTTCAACATCACCATACTGTTACACAATGAATTCATGGTGAATTAGATATATACATCATGTTTTTCGTTTTGTCTCGACTTACTGTGCTGTGTGTCTATCTACACTAAAATACGGAGGGGGGTGGGGTGGGGTGCGCAGTGTTGACAATCATAGGTGAACAAATCTACTACTGCATAAATCATTCATTTCATCGGTGTTTTGTCATGATTACATCACTACTGACATTACCCTTCTTACTACTCTTATTCACTGTACTACTACTATTACTACTCACACTACTACTACTACTACTACTACTACTACTACTACTACTACTGCTACTCACACTACTACTACTACTACTACTACTACTGTTACTACTACTGAACATTTTCTCTTGCGTGAAATTCTCCATCACCGACCGACTTTGTCTCCTTTTTTTTATCTCATTTTGTTAATTCATTTGACAAGATTTAATTTGTAATTAGTGTCTTTCTATGTTACAAAGATATAAATATATACATAACACAGATGGAAATAATCTTTTCAATTAGAGGAGTTGTGGAGATGAATGCGGTTTTTCTTGGCACATTGAAATCACCCATCAATCAATCAATCAATCATTGTTAGACTATCACCATTTGAAACATGAAAGCACTGAAAGACGGTCTGGTGTGGGACTCATCAGTGGCAATGTGCATCCACAACTCCTGCACCTCGCAGAATTTGAACCCAGGACTTTCGGCTTTGCGCTTCGAAAGCCTAACCTCTGGACCATTGGGTTGGCCAGCATCCAACGGTGTTAATGTCACACTGTGATCAATCTACGGATTTTGCGTGATCTCACCCATTCGTCTCTGGTAGTGTTACGTTCGTCACTAGGTATGCTTGAGACTATTACGAGTTCACCTTAGTCGATAAACCCGAACGAGACAATGAACCAGCGTCCAGATAGGCTACCCTTATCTGAAACAGCTAAAAAGAAGTCTTGTTAAGCGTAGAAAGTATATTTGACAAACACCCAGCAGGCACAATGCACCCAATCACACAAATCTCGTTGATTTATACATCATACAAACATCCTTGGGACAGTTACAAAAATAGCACACTAAAATATACAGCAGCCAATCACAGCCAAGAATTTTCGTGGTGGGAAATGCAATCTCAAGGTCAAATGACCAACCCATGCTCTCGCAAACGTGAAATCCAAAATAAGGCATTTATCAAGCGAGTTCTGGGGATCTAATAACATCCCTAACAGGTAGTCAGCTCCTACACCCGACAGGGTTGATAAATATCAGTGTTGTTTTAATTTTGCAAACTGTCTCTGCTACATGATATTTACGAACGAAAAAATGAGGAATTCTATACATAACTTTTTATGTGTATGAATTTCAATGTCAAACATCTTTTGATTGATTTGTTTGTTCCTTTGTTTGTCTTGTTATTTCGAAATTATTAAATGATCAATGTTAGACCACTAATAGAAACTTGAAAGTACTGGACAGCGGTTTCGTTCTTGTATAGGACTTATCAGTAGTGCACATTCGTAACTTCAGTGATTCTAAGTTTCGAATGATAGTCTCAATCAGTCAATCAATAGCAACGTAAAACTACATACGTACTTGCATACATCAGTTCAAGTTGCCATACTACCACATTAGCACACAGAGATGTAATTGCCAATTCAAATCCAATAGTAGTAGACGTGAGGTAATTAAGGTATTAGCAGTAGTCAGAGAGGTTAGGATTAGAAGATATTATTCAAGAAGTAGTCAGTCAGTCAGTTACAACATAGAACTTTTGTACGTGTAAGTACATCAGTTCAAGTTGCCATACCGCCACATTAGTACAAAGAGATGTGATTGTCAATTCAAATCTAATAGTAGTGGAGGTAATAAAGCTATTAGCAGTAATTGGAGAGATTAGGGTTCAACGATTATGTTTTCGGGAAGTAGGATCTAGTGAAATAAACTTGAAAAGATAAAGTGATGAAGAATTTAAAAGTTTGGGATTTGAGAGAACACAAAGTATTAATGCACCTGCGCCATTGCAAACAGTTTTCAGCCATATCATTTAGGATCTCTAACCATCGATTAACTATTGTCTCGTTGACCCTAACCAGTTAGTAGCCTACACCGACCAACATGACTTAGTTCACTTGTCAGTGACTTCATGGATTTGTGCCATGTTTTGGTTTCGTCGCCCGTAGTGTTATAGTGTAAAAATGTGGTCTATACAGCCACGTCTGCGTCCGAAACCAGCCTGATTTTCTCTAGCCTGCTCTTCACCAGCTCTAGTTAGGCGTCTAAGTATAATCGAGGCTAAAAATTTAGACACTATATTAGTTAGACTTATTCCTCTGTGTTTGTCACAAGAACACTTTTGCCCTTTCTTATAGATTAGAACAATCAGTGATTGAGACCAGTCGGATGGGATTGTGTCCAGTTCTCAGATTCTACCTAAGATTTCAGTCAACCTAGATGCTAAGACTGGACCACCATCCTTAAAAATCTCAGGGGTAAGCCTATCAGGACCTGCTGCTCGCCCTCGCTTTAGATTTCCTATAGCCTTTTCAACTTCATAACGGTTCGGAGAGCTCATGTCGATTCGACATTCAGGATGACTGGAGATCGTGGACAACCGAAGTGTGTCTGAAGGCCAATTGGATTGATCCCTAAAGTGTTCTACCCACTGATCTAATCTCCTGGATTGAGAATGAATGATACTGCCATCCTTTTCCGAAATAGTCTGACTCACATTAGGGTTCCTAATACCAGTTTCTTAGCTAGTCTCACATTGACTGATTCATGATTTCAAAAAGTAATTCATCAATCTTTAAAATCCGATCGTGAAAATGATCATATGCTCAGTGGTGGTTAGCTGCAAAGTCGTGACCGGTGGAGTTCAACCCTGTTCATCTGTGAAGTAGCACTCACCGAATACAATGGATAAGGTTGCACAAAACTGTGGATTGATTGAAGCTGGAGATTAACACCATTGGATGTCAGCCTGTTTAAGGGGTCTACAGGTTAGGCGTTCGTGCGTAAGACCACAGGTCCTACCTTTGATCCCCGCGAGGAGCAGGAGTCACTGATGGGCACTTCCACCGATGAGTTTTATACCAGGACGAAGCGGTCGTCCAATGCTTCCACGTTTCTTATGGTAATCTAACGATGAAGATATTCGTAGGTTACTAGTTTTCGATCATAGGTGTCTTCGAAGCATTGCTCGTATATCCTGGGACACCCGAGTGAGCAACGCTGTTATTAGGAATCGGGTGTTAGGTAAGAATGGCAGATCAATAGATGAAGTAGTGACACTTCATCAGTTAAGGTGGTTGGGACATGTGTTGCGTATGCCCAACCACCGACTGCCTCGACGAGCTATGTTTTGTAGTGTAGGAGTAGGTTTGAAGAAAGTTAGGGGAGGCCAAACCAAAACATGGCGGCACAAATCCATGAAGTCATTGACTTAGCCATGTCGGTAATTGTCGACTACCTAGTTGGGGTCCGCGAGATGATAATAATCGATGGCTAGACCTTGAATGACATGGTTCAAAGTCGTTCGCAGTGGCGCTGGTGCATTTATTCTTTGTGTTCTCTCAAATCCTAATCTTCTGGATTCTTCAACAACTTTAGTTTTGACTTTCTAAACTTTTCTCACTGAATTATAATTCTTGAATATCTTCTGATCTTAACCTCTCCGATTACTTCTAATACCTTTACTACCTCTACTACTATTGGATTTGAATTGACAATTACATCTGTGTGCTGATGTGGTATGGCGACATGAACTGATGTACTTACGTACGAAGTTCTACGTTGTGACTGACTGACTGAATCTAACGATGACTGATTCACGATTCCAATGTGTATTCAAATAACCAAATGGTTTAACAGTTCAATTTCTTGTTTGACAAAACTTACTGACTATTTCGTATCAGTGTTTTTTCGCTACCCTCTTACCCTAAAATGTTCGTTCATTAACGTTATCATCACTCTATTCAATCACAGAGTTGATAAGAGATGCTTATCATCATATATTTTTAATCTGATAACATTTTTTTTTAGAAAAAATAACCCAAGCTGAATGGTTACATGCATCATTTATTATTGGGAAACGTTTATGTACGTGATTATTCCGAATAAAATAAGTTAGAGATCATATCAATTTACAAATCTCAATAGCTAAATAACTACTATATATATATATATATACTCTCCAGTCTATCTTAGAAGTAAACCTTGTGTTATGGTTTCAAAGTTGATTGAGGTTTGAGATTAATCGATTTGGTTACATAGTCAAGATTTTTGAAGAAAAAACTTTTCGTGTTTCAACGTCAGCCCACTTGTATATGGTTAGGAGGATTTTTCCAATTATCTGAAACTCACAACAAATATCAATCGACACACAAGTCAGGATTTTTAACACAAATCTCAAGACAATTCTACTGTATGGGGGAGGAAAGCCATCATCCAGAAGATACAACTATTCATAAACAGTTGTCTACGCAATATACTTCCGTTTGAAAAATATCTGGAACTCCAAACAAATATCAACAAACACCAAAGTCAGAATTTTCAATACAAATGTGAAGACAGTTCTACTGTATGGGGGCGGAGACTTGGAGAACTACAAAAGCCATCATCCAGAAGATACAAGTGTTTATTAACAGTTGTCTACGCAAAATACTTCGTATTCGTTGGCCAGACACCATCAGCCACAACCTACTGTGGGAAAGAAAAAACTAGATTCCAGCGAAGGAAGAAATCAGGAAGAAGCGGTGGAAGTGGATAGGACACACACTACGAAAAGCACCTAACTGCGTTACAAGACAAGCCCTCACATGGAACCCTCAAGGTCAAAGGAAAAGAGGAAGGCCAGGGAACACATTATGCCGAGAAATAGAGAAAGAAATGAGAGGAATGAACAAACAGTGGACAGAACTGGACAGGGAAGCCCAGGACATAGTTGGTTGGAGAGAACTGGTCGGCAGCCTATGATCCATTGAGGCTGACAGGCGTAAAATTAGTAAGTTTTTTCCAATTCATTGTCTACATTTCTATTGAGATGGTTTATACTCTAAAAAAAAACTCAACATGCAACACTTAAACCTTGTAAACTTATTTATATTTAACCATTAAATATATTCACAGTCATGCGGTCATTATGCTCACCACTTGAATGCCTCATAGATAGAGAACAATCAATACAAATCCAATGTCTTCTGAGAATCAAAAGCTTCTTTTTCTGACTTTTTTTTTTAACAACAAATTGAACTTAAGTTACTATTTTTTTCTACAGTGAATAAGAATGCAGACTTGTTTCGAATGAATGAACGAACACATTTCTCTAAAAATTAATTACCTTTTACATGACATGAACTTGTTCGACATACTGGAATTCGATTGG